ATAAATCATCTCACCCATGAAACAATCACCACGCCAATCCCTTGCATAATCTGGTTTACCACAGTGCAGTTTGTTGGCTTACGGGAGGGGTACTCGAACTTTTCCGATTTTTCCCGCTCCAAAGAACGTGAATCAGAGTTTGAAACATTAGATTCCCGTAGGATAGCTTGTGATCTTTTCAGGAAAAATTAATACAAATAATAATAATAATAATAATAATAATAATAATAATAATAATAATAATAACAAAAAAAATCATTCTGGCCATAAAACAATCTCACTTGCATATCCTAGTTTTGACATAGGGCAGTTTGTAGACTGAAGGGAGGAGTACTCCAACTTCCCCGTTCCATGTATCTCTCTCCCACTACACACTCTCTCTCTGCACACTCTCTGACTCTGTGTACACTCTCTCTCTCACCGCACACTCCCTCTCATATCAGAGTTGCACGTACCTGTTCGCCTGCCAGCCGAACACTAGATTGCGTGATCGGTGGGTTGGCTGGCCAGCAGAACACTTGAGTACCAACCCACTGGAACTGGCTCGTTTCCGCTAGCAGTGGATACACTTGATTGGCTGGCCTGCAGAACACTTGAGTACCAGGCCACTGGATCTAGCTCGTTTCTGATCTCACCCCCTTCTTCACTTACCGTCGTGGTGCTCGTGGCTCATCCCTGAATGTGTTCCATAAGTATTCTGGTCGGGCAAAGTCAAAGCAAGGGCCAAGTCTGTAGTGCACAACCTCCCTATCTTGGCAGTACTTCAGATCAGAATGGCAGATCAAGCCTGCATTCGAGTTCAATTAGAGCCTTGCCAAACCGTCCACCATCCTTGCATGGTACATCGATAATCGTTTTCTAAGTTCACTTGCGTCTCTGAAGGGTCCGCAAGCTCAGACATGGCACATTTCACAGTTTTTGATCTCTTACCTAGTGGCAAGGGATGCGCTGTCCGAAAGCGGTAATGGCAGATCTGTGGCCCACCTTCAGCGGTAATGTGAAATCCTTGATTGTCCGCCAACAGTGGGAATGTGAAATCCCTGATTGCCCGCCAACAACGGGAATGTGAAATACTTGATGGCCGCCAACAGCGGGAATGTGAAATGCTCGATTGGCTGTTCTGCAAAAGTGACCGCACCCGCCAACAGCGGTAGTGTTAAATACTTGATTGGCTGTTCGACCGTCAACACCTCCCAGGAGCGGGAGTACTTGATCGACTGAAGCTGGCTGTTCCCGCCAGGTCTCCTTTCCGTACACCGCTCACCCGCTCTCCCTCTCTCACTTAGTCCACTCTCTCTCTCTCACTCTCACACGCAGTCTCTTGCTCCCGCTGTGCAGTCCCCTTCTCTCTCACTCTCCCTCTCACACGCGAGTAACCGCTTGAGCGCCGACGCGTCTCCCCTGTGCTTGCACTCGCGGGTACGCCTTGTTCGCGTCCGGCTCTCCCCTTTCTCCTGGCGTAATCGCCTCGGCGTCGATGTCTCCGCCTCGAGCTCGTCTCGCACTGTGCAACAGCTTGACGCCGGGCACACCTGGCATGCAATTCCCATTTCCTTCACTGTTCTCCCCTATATCCCCTTCAGTCCCGTGGCCTGACCGACCAGGGCCTTCTCGGAGTGCAAGTGTGCAGGAAGTAGTCCGCCGCGCCACGGAGGAAAAAAAAAAACAGTGGTATCGGTCACACAGGCTCGGCGTCCACAGTACCCATGCACCAGCTTCGGCCCACTGGCGCAGACATGTCCGATGAGTTGGCAATGGTTCCGAGCCGAGATAGCCCCCTGCATCCCCCTCTTTGCCACGGGCTTTAGCGGGTCAGTGATAGCTGAGCGACTAAGCACTTAGGGCCGTAGTGGCCACGGCGTCGGGGCATGGGCCCCCATGCGAATCCATCATTACTGCCAGTTTCCACACGGTACCTTGCGAAACCGCGTGGCCCTTCAGACCCTGCAGTACTAGTAATCTACGGGTAGCAGAAGTAGTCCCTTGAGCCAGGCAAGCTGAGCCACCAAAAAAAACAGCTCTGCAGCCAACCCCCCTTTAGTCTGCATATGTTTAAAGGTTAACACTTCTATCTGCCTCTGGCCACACTGCCCGTATACCGGCAGTTTGACGGTACCAAGTCCCATAGAACCGGAGCAAATGTGGCAATCTCCGACCGATCGCTGGATCAGCGCGCGTAAGTGTCCCAGGCTAGTACACACACCAAAATAGTGGTACCCCGTTGCGGTGTCCCATGGAACAAGTTGCGGCGTCACCATACCAATTCCAAACCTTGAACTAGCCAACTAGAACTTGTCTCGACGTTATACCTCAGCAATCTGTACCTGTGAATGTCAAACCCGGATCACTCGGTCAGGCTCGCTGTAACTCTTACCATACCGAAGCCGAACCTGATATAATCATCCGGGGTTCCCGTGCCTCGCGCTGTATCGATACCGGTTCAGTACCAAGCCTGGAAATGATGCTGTGGCGTGTACCACGCCAATGTCGAACCAATAATGTACCCGAAACATGTCGAACACGGCAAGAAGCAGCGGCGCGGTAATAGTACCGAACCTGAAGTAAACCGCCACAATGAACCCGGACCCGAAAATAAGTTGCCACAGAGGTTCCGAAATAAATCGCCGTGAGGGCGTTGAACCTGAAACGAAACACCGCGATGCCACCGAACTTTACCAAACCCGAAATCCAGTACCGGGCTGTTGCGCCACGCGGATGCCGAACCCGTAGAACCATGCCATGATAATTTCGTACGTGTCCCGAACCTGATATAGAATGTCGCAACGTTTCCGGACCTGAAAACAAACTGCCGTCGAGGTTCCAGACCTGGAATAATTGTCGTAGTGGCCCCGGTCCTAAGAATAAATCACCGCAGTTGTCCCAAGCCTGAAAATAAATCACCGTAGTGAAACAGCTGTCACCGGGGCCCATACCGTACCTGAAGCACGTCAGACACCGTAGGACGTAGCCACTCCGTAACGACCCTCGTATCCGTACCGAACCAAACACCATAGTCGACCCAAGGTTGCACTACCCCATGCTGTCCATGCGACTCCCGCTCTCAGAACATCCCAACTGCGGTAATGTTAGTAATCAAGCAAACCAGGGAAAGCGACGCAGGGAACCTCGACCATCGGCAGTAGTGAAAACTGTTAAAAATTCGGGGAAGATGTTCAAGTCCGGGCCAGAGTTGATGGCGGGTAATCGAGGCGAAATTAGGCCAATCTCCCAATAGTCATGGGTTCCCGTCCCTTCCATCGTTTTTCATCATTCTTTTGTTTCCTTAATGTTATTGTCGGAAATAGTAACTTAACCGTTAGTTCCCCAAAATTAAATTCCAAGAAATTTTAAATAAATGGCCGAATTCCTTTCGTTTCTTTTCGTTTTTACCATTTATAATCTCTTCCTATGTTTTTAATTTCATTGTCGGGAACATAAAATAACAAGGGTATTCCCCCTTGAAATAAATGCCCTGAAAAATAAATAATTTAACGGATATTATGTTTTTCCCTTCTCCCCTGCTAGTCTTAATCCCATTTCCCCATCTTTAATTATGGTACTAAAATAAAAAAAAAATTGAGGCCTCATTTCGGCCGCGGTTGTATGCCGCAAAAACGTTGCGGCAAGGTCAGTTCCCGCGATGCCTCTCCGCGGCAGGCCAATCCGGGTCTAACCCTTTGAACGGCCGAAAATGACGGTCCGCAGATGCGACGAGTGCGGCCACCCATCTCGCCATCTTTGAGGGTTACCCATAAGGTTCAACGCGCCCAAAATCAAGGGCGCCCTAAGCTCCCCTAATTTTTGCTGCTTGGTCAACCCGGAGCACCGTCAAAACATGGACTTGTCTTTGAGTCTATGTCCCAAAGCCGCAGATTTCAGGTGGCACACTGCTTGTGGCCGCGTGACACCGGTTTCCAGCAGGTGTTGCTCCCCACCAATAGACTGGAGCCATCCCCTGGGCTGCTAGTGGTGTCTGCTCGCTTTAACACTCGTAGCACACCTAGCGGATGGTTTTTCGTTTGATAGAAAAGAGAAAACAGGACACTCTGTCCTCCGCGACATCCGTTAAAATTGGAACAACACACAGAATATTAGCACGGCCACTGCGCAAGGATGACACACATACATCAAGAAATGGTCCAAATCAAAAAAAGGAAACATGAAAAACTTGGGCACAGTGAACCGTAGAAACAGCCAGGCACAGGAACAAGGGCACAGAGACTCATGGAACCTGCAGAAACGCCGTGGGAAAACGGACAGGCGCAGCATAAAATCTCAACTGCAGTTTGCAGAAAATTTCAGCAGCATCTCAACTGCACTTTGCAGAAAGTTTCAGCGTTAACTAATCTGCTGTTTGGCAGTAAATCTCAGCAGCATCACATCTGCTATTTCGTGGCAATTTTTTACCACCTTCTCCACTGCAGTTTGCAGAAAATTGCGGCGGCAACTAATCAAAGGATTTGCAATAAATCTCAGCAGCATCAACTCTGCTATTTTAGTATTTTGCACCAAGTTTTTTAGCAGCTTCTCAACTGCAGGCAGGCTCGCACGGGGGGTGCTGTTTTGGAAAGCATGGGGAGGCGGGTACGGACAGACAAGGCTGGAGCAAGGAAGGTGTTTCATGCAAGGGGAACAGTCGCTATCAAGCAGCACCAAGCCTGACTCTTTTCTTGCCGCACAGGGGTAATCAATGCTCGCGGGACGCATATGGTTTCTGATTAAGATCTCATTTATACCCTCAAAGGAACGCTGGACCCCATTTCCAGCAAGGAAGCCTTAAGCGTAGAACAGGCATGGAAAGTGGGAATGAGAAGGTGACGGCATTTGGGACAGGGTGGCTAGGGGTAGCTGGGGGAGGGAAGAACTAGTTCTCAGCAGCGGGTATCTGGGGCCTGGTAGAGGGCAAAGAGGTTTCCTCCTCCTCCTCAACAACCTGCACAGTTAATCCTCTGGATGCCGGTGTAATCAATGCTGGCAGGTGTTTTCTCAGTCACTTTTCCTGATATCATCCTAATTCATTTTGTATATGGGACGCTGGACCCGTTTCCCAGCCGGTGATGCTCCCCACTAAAATGGCACTAATAGATGGAGCCTTAAAAAAAAAAAAACACTGACTAAGATTTGAAATCAGTCGAATTCCGTTGGCTCTCGTACCGCCAGGGAACAGCAGAACGTCGCCGGATGCTTGTGTGTAAAAAAAGAAAAAAGAAAAAAAAAAAGCTCTCTGAGCCTCTCACATGACTGACTGGGTAGGTTGCTGGCACAATGAGCAAAGCTACGCTCACTGAGAATCCAGAAGTGCCAACAACAGTGTTTAACTTGACTTTCTCTTTGACTGTGCTATGCTCAGCAATATGAAATGAAGACGTACTGAAGTGTGTGCCCAAATCATCACCTCATCTTTACAAACCAGGCGCAGGGAACACCGTCCCTGTCATCGTTACGATGATCTTTCTGAGGAATCTGCCCATATCAATTGGTATACCCTTCTACTGATTGCACTCCCCACAGATTTGTGTCTCGTCCGTAGATTACTCAGCAGCTGCTCCTGCGCGGCACGGTTAGGTTCCTGCGTTCACATGGATGCATAACATTGGCAATCAGCAAAGACAGGTATCATACACTTCAACTGCCCTGTCTTTTTTTTTTTAAATGTGTTCCGATGGACCACGGATCAGATATTAAACTGATCAGAACAGATACTACACTTGATCTTAGCCAAAAGGCCGAGAAAGGTATCCCGGTCTGCTCTGCCAAATTACAACGTTCAAAAGAAGGGACCAAAACTTTTTTGCGCATTGCATCCTTGCACAGGGGCCATGCTAATTCCCACTTTATGGTTCCCATGTCAACAGATGTTCGTTGTTCTTCACAAGGCTCGAAGAGTTGTTCTGGGCGCTCAAGGGTTCCTATCACAACGGCTCCAACCCGTGGGCCTGCACTTTGTGCCTGATCAAACTATGTGAGGCTCCCGGCCTCGGCGGGTCTCAAAATAGGCGACCGCAGGCAGGAATTGCAGACAGCGCTAACTGAAGGCCATGCCTGAGAACCTACTGGACCCCAGTTTGGGCACCAGTCCAGGTAACTACCCAGTTGGGCTTGTCGGACGTTCAAAAGAAGGGACCAACATTTTTCACCTTGCGCATCCCATCCTTGCACAGGGGCCGTGCTAATTTCCACGTTATGGTTCCAATGTCAACAGATGTTCCAATATTAATTCATGCGAGGCCCAGGGCTCGGCGGGTCTCAAAATAGGCTACCACAGGCAGGTATTGCAGGCCGGCTCTAACTGAAGGCTGCGCCTGAGAAGCTATGGAACCCAGCTTGGACAACAGCCTGGGTAACTACCCAGTAGACCCTGTTGGGATACCAGGGTGAAAAGGTACCTGGGTTGGGACTGAGGTCCGTAGGAAGTGCCAACCAGAGGCCCCTGGCCTCCAACAAAGACAAAAGACAAGCTGGGGCATATGTACATTGGGCAGGGAGAAGCTGGATGTGAGAGTGCTGGGAGAGCGCAGAGCAAGTGCCCGCACCATGAAGGCAGCAGCATTGTGGTGGCTGCTAGCGCTGGCTAGCTGCCAAAGCCAGTTTGGCAGGCGCGAGGCAGGGAAAGGACACGGTGGTCGGGGTAGGTTGGAGGAGGAGAGCGGCATTAGGAACGGGCTGATACTTACCTGGAGTTGGCCTAGGAACACCTCTGTCATCAGACTCTTCAAATGCAACTGGTGTGTGTGTGTGTGTGTGTGTGTGTGTGTGTGTGTGTGTGTGTGTGTGTGAGAGAGAGAGAGAGAGAGAGAGAGAGAGAGAGAGAGAGAGANGAGAGAGAGAGAGAGAGAGAGAGAGAGAGAGAGAGAGAGAGAGAGAGAGAGAGAGAGAGAGAGAGAGAGGAAGTAGGCTAGAAGGTACAGGCGTGCGGGGAAGTAGTTTAGGTGGACACATCATAGGTAGGGCTACTACTCTGTTGATGTATTGATTGTTGGAGACGTGAAGAGGGCTTTAATTGTCAGGAGACTTCACTGTTCAGGGTGTACTTGCATTGGTGTGCTCTCGGCTTTGACGTTCTGCTTTCGACTCGTTTTACTCGTGAGCTTTTGCATCTAGATTTTTTTTTTCTCCTCACTTGCTGGTTCTTTTTACTTATTAGATGTCTCAACCAAGAGTTGCTCAAAATAACGTTTTACATCACATACGTTTTTGGAAAATAGGTTTTGTTGAACTTTTTTCTGTTACATTTTCTTTTGAGTGTGCACACACGCTGTGCACCCTGCATGTGCCGTGTGGTCGCATGCAAACGCAGGCATCGTGTGTGTTCACTGGCGTGGTTGCAAGGGATCCGATTACAGAGGTAGGAATTTTAGAAGAGGTGAACACCCCAACCTAGCTAGCCTCTATGTAGAACTGTTAAGTTACGTTGACTGAAGTCAAGTGTTGGCCTTCCAATACGGATGGCTTCATTGCATCCTCCTCCTCCTCCTCCTCCTCTTTCTTCTCCTCCTCTTGCTACTACTACTGCTCTGCCACTGATGGCTTTTTTCAACGCTCTCCTCCTGATACCATGGCTGCTGCCGCTCGACCCAAGAATGGACGATGAAAAAGAAAAAAAAAAGAAAAAAAAACATGACCGTAAAACTCGGCCAAGGCAAATAACAATGAGAAATTAAAATGACCATGATGCTGTAATGACTTGCTGCTTGCTGCCGTATCTGTCTGCGGGGTTGTACACTATGGTGTGGTTTTGCCTGCTGAGTTTGCGGCATGTTTGTTACTGTGTGATTGCTGTGCTTTTTTGTGGTCGCACTGAGGGCTGTCCGCTGTTCTAAAAATAGAATAGAATTAACAGCGGTAGAGTTTGAGTGTTTGCAGGCCCTAAGGGGCACTGCGCCCTAAGTGCTGTAGGACTGCTGTAGAGGCCGGGTAGGCCCTTAGGGCAATGGTACCGGTAGTAGTTTCGGTCCAGTAGGTTAGGCCGGGAACTATAGGCAAGGTAGGCCCGATAGTTAGGGACTTTTGGCTTTCATTTTTCGTGTGCAGCGTTTGTGGCCAACCAAGTTGTGCAGCACTGAATGCCTACAGCGGCACCTGAGACATCAGCGCAGTGGAGCAGCCATAGCCAGCCTTCTGAGACAGCCATAGCTGGGGCTGTACTCAGCGCATCTATCCCCTGGGGATATCTGCGCTGGCAGGACTATATCGGAGGTCTTCACTGAGTATATGTGGGTACTAGTGCTGCGGTAGCAGCCAGGCAGCCATAGCTGCCTTCTTCATCGTCAGAGTGACTCATCGGCACTGGGGACTACTTCGCTGTTCATGATCTGCATCTGGGTGTATGGCACTGGCCTCTGGGAGGCTGTTACTGTGCAGCGCTAGACTCTGAGAGTGTAGTAGTGAGTGGAGTGTGTGGTTCTGGAGTGGCGAGATACTGGGTTGAACTCTGTTACGATAATTGAGGTTAACTGTGTTGAGTTGGCTCATCATCTGGGTTAATTTCCAATTGTGATCTTCGCAGTGTCAATTGTGATTGGTTGCTGGGAGTGTGTCAGGGAGAGAGAAACACTGAGTGTGTTCTCCCCTTCTGTGCATATTTGCTATTCCGCTGTTTATCTCTGATCGGTGTGCAGTTGGACCCTGTCTCCTTGTCCCCTTTGTCTCATACATGTATGGGCGTGTGTGAGTACTTCTGAGTGTGAGTGGCAATCCAATTGTCAGACAACCAAGTTCATAACAATGCTGTCAATTTGCCAGAGAACCGGACAGGACAATCGTGCTGCGGAATCACAGCTTACCAGATGTTGGAAAGAATTGCAGACATTTTTGAATGATTTTTCTAATCACAAACACACAGTAAACAGTAACAGAAAAAGTGCAAAAAAGAGAGAGAAAACACGGAGCCCGTTGAAAACTTCATCAAGTTCTGAAGCGAAGTCATGCACATGGAAGCTCACTCGTTGAGCGTTGGACTTCCTTTTCCCACAGCCTTTTTCCCTTGCTAATCCAGAAACAATAGACTCAAATAGAGTGATTCGATTCTATCTCACCAGTGCAATGTACGCTTTGACCAGATGTTGGAGAGTGGGATATTTTGTGGTGATCGCAAGCGCCACGTCTTCTGCAACTCCCCGAACCTGCAAGCCAAATGGAGACAGACGGATGTCAAAACTTGTCTGTGTTTCTTCCCATGCAGTGAACAAAGGGACAGAAAGAAACAGCCGCTACACCGGCGGGAAAAAAAAAACAAAAGAAAACAAGAAGGGCAGGCAGTTTCTGCAAAGTTTGCCAAGGAAACTCAAAGAATCAAGTTCTTCCGGAAAACACTGAAAAGTCAATTCCCATCACCAGTGATGCTTCATGACACTACACTGTGTACAATCCACATCTAAGGAGCAGAGCACGTCGTGCCATTTGAGGTTAGTCATCCTGGGGATTTTGTGAGAGAATGTTACGTGCCAACTGTAGATAGTCATCCTGGAAAGTCAAAGGTGGGGTATATATTATTGTGGAAAGGTTGGACCCTGCTAAAGCAATGATAGCAAGCGAGCCTTCCGTATGGAATAGAACTTATAGAAGAATAGCTGAGTGTGGCGATTCCAGCAGCGGTAGGTGAATGCAGACCCTGCATCATTTACCCCTGCCCTGTGAGATGGCTTACTTTGCAAAGCAGTGGGGAGCACAAGGCAGGACAAGTGTGACGAGTCTATAAACTTTTTCCTCCGCGAGCTCAAGTGAAATCTGCTGGTCCACGAAAGGTGGTTCTTTCCCCAATCGAGCCTGAAATAGAAAAGAGCACTGCCGGCATACTATGACCAGATTTCACAAACCCAGCCCATGTAACTGAAGGGTACACACATGCCGGTCACGAGTTAAGACTTCACATCCTGCCAGATCAAGTGCCCGCAATAACAAAGTTCAGGTGAAACCTTTGAAATAAAAAATGACGATCATATCACTCGACGCTCGTGCTCTGGTGCTCCAAGGGAGCACAAGGAAAAGTGAAGAAATCTTCCTTAGGAAGTCAAAATTCACAATCGAACTCTGCGTGTCTGTGGTGACAGACCGAGACACAGCGATTTCAGATGATCAGACCACACCAACAAACAGCGCCAAGCTGCCGACAGTCATGGGGTCTAACTACAGTGATCCTGCTTACCATCCAAATGGTTACGAGGCTTTTTTTTTTTTTTTTTTTTTTACGAGTCTTACAACGACCCAGGATAGTATTTGCTGAGTCCAATTCAGGCAAGAATAGAACATACTTTTGGCGCTGCTGCCGAGGAGAACTGGGAGGAACCGTTTTGCATTTGAGAGAGAGCCTAGGCTAATGCCGAGACAAGTTTGGAAAAAAGATGTCGGGATTGAACTTGAGTCGTCATATCAGTAGATTCAGTACAGTTGGTATTCTAATTTATAATTTTATAACCTTTTTTTTTTATAATTATTTGGGACCATACTCCAATCTATATTCGTGGGGAGAAACACGTGCTGGGAACCGGGCGCAGCGTCCCTTCTGACAATACAGGGGAACAATTTGAGAGACTGGGGGCCATTACCCGGCTTCGGCTGAGAACAATTCAGAAAAACTCAGAAAAAATCATAAACAGCTTCTGGCCTCGCATCCAGAAAACCTACCGAATACCAACGTTCTGAATGAGGCTCAATAGACCAGAACATAACGTACCTTGGCTGTCATGTTCTCGACACCCGGACAGTACCAGGCCTCAACACGCTAAGTTAGAGGGCAGTGCGCGACCCACCCCAGCTCCCGGCCAGCGTTGTCCTGGCGATTGTTATAACCATTGCTTTCGAAGTTTCCACTCTTTGGAAAGCACAGCATCCCCACAAATTGAGTGTTCTCTTTGTCAAAGTCCAACTGACTCTTGCCCATGGTTTGCTTGACTTGTCTTTCATCTGTGCTCTGTTTGCATGCTGACATACTACTCTTCCTTGTTTGTTTGTTTTTACGATGAGAGTGGCGGAGGATCTGTCATTTTTTACTTCTCCGCATTCAGTAGGACCGTTACTAAATATATATAGACCTCATGAGTTCAAACTTCAAACTTCACAGCCAGCTTCGACAAAGTTCAGTCGATAAAGCTTGCCTTCTTTAAATATGTCACAGTGTTGGGATCAAAGCACATTAAACTCTCAAAGGAAAGGAAAAGGAAAAGAAAAAAAAGAAGGAATTTCCGATTTCTGTCAATCCATGAATTACGTTATGTCAGCAGACATGGGCTTGCATCCCTGCAGAGACCTGCAGGCCAAAGTTTTCGTTCCAAAGTGTATCTCACCTGCATGACCATCAAGCCAAAAATGTCAGTGACGGTCTGCTTCTGCACATCTCTCATGTGCTCACAGAATTCTGTAAAACTCTTGCAACTAGCTGCTGCACTGTCATTGTCATCACATTCCCCTTCCCCTTCATCTCCACACGTCCTTATGCCAGGAGTCCTATGGCTATGGCATCCCCGTCGCTCAGCATACAAGTCAACAATCGCCCGTGTCAGCTCTCGATACCTGCGGACGGTTTCTTGGTAATTCGCAGTCCGAAGCATGTCGAAACCATTCATGAGCTCGGTGGTCAATGCCCTGCCAAAAAAAGACGGTGGTTCAAAGAAACATCAGTTCCCACTCGCCAACATATACACGGCGAAAAACTACCCAAGAATCGTTACATTGCTTACTTGAACAATGTTTTTTTTTTTTTTTTTTTTTTTTTTTTTTTTTTGGGGGGGGGGGGGGGGACCATTTCTCGATTTACGAGCGTCATCCTTGCACAGGGGCCATGCTAATCTATCTTCTCTGTATCGTAACTATCATTCCAATTTTAAGGGATGTCCCGAGGGACGCTGAACTACGGTTTCTATAAATCTCTTCGTCCTGTTTTGAGGTTCGTGTGTTTTCTCAAAAGCTGTTCATCCTATTTTAAGGCTTCTTCTCATCGTTCTGCAGAAGAGGAGAAAAGAACAAGCACATAAACGGAAGGAACACGTATAACAAGTACCTGTCCCCGATCTCTTCCTGACCCCGAAAAAAAAAGAACACACATCATACGACCTGCTTCTCTCTCTCTCTCTCTCTCTCTCTCTCTCTCTCTCTCTCTCTCTCTCTCT